ACTTTCTGTTTTTGAAGCTGACAGGTTTGCTTTTTGTTTCTCTACTTCTTTGCCCTTATGTATTAGTGATCATTTCCCTATGAAAATAAAGTAAACTAATTATCACAGTTTTCTGAGTCTGCAAAATGATTATACTCTGGAGCCCCTGACCCACATTTACTACTCTTTTGCTTCCCCTGGCTCCACCATCACACATTCTAAAGCTGACTCATGCACCATGTGCTTAAGAGATGTGTTACCGTGATTCTGTTCATACGTTTGCTGTGATATTTTCCATACTTTATTTCCCATGTCCTGATTACAATAATCACACCTGATTACAATTGTCTTTCACAAGGAGCACATCCACATGACAGTCTTCTTTTCACTGAGAAACAACAATAACCTAATATACAAATTCTGTCCATCTGCAACCACCCCCCTCTCCCTTTCTCAGTCTTACTCATTTCCAGGAGCATAAATCAGAAAGTAAAGACTGAACAGGGTTCCATTTTGCCTTTAAACAGAAATGGATTCTTAAAGATGAAATAATTATACTGCTACGTGAGATCAAGGTTTCAAAGGAAGAACCTCGTGTGGATCCTTATGCACACTTATACCACGAAGGTGGATGTTTAAAAGCAGCTAGATGGGTATTTGTCCTAAAATGTGGTCTTCCGTGTTGGTTCTGCAGCCTGAGGAGCTATCCCTATGCTTTGCTGCCACCTTGGCAAACTAGAAGGATTTACAACGGAATTCTGCACCCGGCGGGCTGGAAACAGCGTTCCCATTGACTCGGTGGGCTGGCTTGGCTCAGAGAGGCGTTTGAAATGGCTGTTATGTTGCAGAGAGAAATTAGAACATCAATCCGGTGGGGAAACACATTTTCTCTATTTAAAATAACTCAGTTTCCGCAAGATTCCGGTGTTACTCTCCGGATGATTTTTAAAGGCTCAGCCTTTCTTTCTTCAGTCCGAAATGGAGACGGAGAAAAAAAGGAATCGGTTGAAGACTTCGGAGTTTGCGCTCTGGGCGACGTTCCGGCTCTTTTGGGTGTGACGGTGACAGCTGAGGCGCTCTGCCGTCCGTTTTCGCTCGTAAAAAGCTTCTATTCTGTGTCCATGAGATGACTCGCCGCCTCCAACTCCCGTTAACTTCTTGGGAGTCCCGAGAACTTAGTCGAAGATGTTTACAAAATGCAAAGCATCTGGGTGGCCAAGATGAAGGCTTGTATTTTTTTTTTAATGCTGCCAAAGGAACTGGGTAAATATTGCTGATTCAAATCCAAGCGCTTTAAACTGACCCGCAGCTTTCAATATTGGGACTCAGATATATTTTCCTCATTGTTATTCTTGTTTGTGTTTCTCCTGTTTATTCCATTTTAAGGCACTCTCTCCCTCCGCCCCCACCCCCTCGACCGCACACCTATGTCCCTGTTCTCATCTCAAAAATCCTTCACTACCCCTCACCCCACCCCCCAATCTTCCGGTCTTTTAATCTTATCTGAATGTGTGGTCGTTTGGCTTTTGCAGACACTGGGTGGGAGGCAGCTTTCCTCGCTATTTCATTTAAATTTGGCCTGAGTGCGTGGGTGCCTTCCACATTTCGTCTCGCACACGCAAAACAGTTAAAAGCTAGAGTCAGAATGAGCGGAGAGTTCCACAACTTCAAAGCACCCGCTAGGAAAGGAAATAATCCGGGGGTCCGAATTGGGGGGTGGGGAGAAAAAGGGAATAAAACCCAACTTCGCTGGCAACGCCAATAAATCTGGTAACTGGAGGCGAAAAATAGATTTCGAGGGCTGGATCTGGTCCGGATGAAAAGCTCGGGCTCCTTCCCCTGCCGGAGTCTGGCGCTGGAAGCCTGCCTCTGGCTTCTTGCCACGCGAGTGCCCCCAGACAGCAACACACCCACTGGAAACGCACGTGAACAAAGCTCTCGCCCCGGGAGCCGCCGCCTGCGGTTTCCTAGTGCATTACAGCTGCTCCGGGGAGTGCAGGGCGCACACAGGGTTAAGTCAGTTCCCTCCCCGGTAGGAGGGAGAGGCGGGGGAGGGGGAAAGCAGCTTACTGTCTCTGGCTGGGTACCTAGTAGTTAGTTGTACGTTCGAAACCTGTCGCCGTCACTTGCGAGTTTGGCATCTGCCACTGTCACCGTAGAGGAACGAGAGCTCGGAGGTAACACCAGTGGCCGCAATCTCCGCGCCTGACGCCGCGCGACTCTCGCCCCGGGTGCATCTCTGGCCCTCGGTCCCGCGTGTCAAGGAGCGGCGAAGTGGCAGCTCCGCGCCCGCCGCCGTGTCTACCCAGCCCCAGGACCAGGCTGGCGGTTCTCAACGATGGGCAGGAGGGACCTTGGCGGCGACCCCTAAAATAATACCATGCCCCGGGAGCCCCGTTGCTGCCGAGCCAGCTTCTTCCCTTTCCACCTCCCTGACCCTGTCGGATTCGGATGAGCCCACTGAGAGGAGCCGCGGCCGCCAGGTAAAGGGGCTGAAGTGCCAGGTGGAGTTTCCAGTAACCGCCCGGGAGGCCGCTATGCGAGTATCACGCAGCATCTTTAGGGCGATTATTTTTAAAAACTAGCTGGAGGGTAATCGCTGGGGAGGGATAGTTTAAGCTTTATCTTTCATCCAGAGAAAGAATAGACTGCTTAACTCTGATCCAATTTGGGGGAAGTCTATTTGCAGGTCGAATCTACCTCTTCTGAGTTTTGTAACTGAGCTCAGGGTCAAAACGCTAATTCGCAAGCCCGCTGGAGCATAGATCCTAAATTGGGGTTTCTAGGGCCACTAAGCTTGCCTGAGTCCAGCCTCTCACTTTCCCAGAATGAATGTTAACTTCCACCAGTAACAAACCCCTCGTTCCCTACCCCTGCACCCACTCCATCTGCTCCTAATGTCACCAGAGTTATTACCAAGCCGTTGCGTCTAAAGACACCCCCTTGCCCGCAACCCGAGATCCAATAGTGGCTAAGAAGATGCGAAGGGTACTGGTTCATTTTCCTTCGAGTTGGGGAAGGGGTTATTTTTCCCATCAAGTCTTTCTCCAGCCTTGCTGGTTTTCAGTGGCCTGGCGCTGAGCTCCGCCAGTGTGTCTTACAGGGGCTCCAGCGAGGAGCCCACCAGGCTTAACTGGGATTGCGTTCCGGGTCCGCGTGCGTGGGATGCGGGGAGAGGGCGGATAAGGCGTCCTGGCACTGAGTGCAGGGGCTAGGCGACAGCGAGGAGCGCGGGGGCAGAGCCTCGCTGGGTGCCACCGCGTCCCAGCCAGGGCCCCGAGCCACCTGGAAAGATCCCTCCGCCACGCTGACCAGTCCCGGGCTCGTCCCCGCGCTTTCAGCGCTGGCGCGGTCAGTTCTCATTCGTAATCACACCCAAGATCAAGGTTGCCAGTTGAGGTCTGGGCACTTAACCAAAGAAAGGAAGTATTCAGGGAAAAGGGTGACTGGGGAGGGCTGGATCCACACTTGATACCCGGGAAACTCCTGGAGCGCTGGGGCTCCGGCTGGCGGCAGCTGCTAGTGGAGGCGGAGGCCACCGCTGCTGTCGTCGCTCGTGCTTTGCTCCTGGAACCTCCCAGAAAGATGGCACTCACTGTCCTGGTCCAGTTAACTTCCCCAGCCTTCCTCACTCCTCCTCCACAGTGTATTAGTCACATACTGAGTTTGGGGAGAAAAGCGGCTTTGGATCTGTAAGTCGAAGCATTTTCTTAGCCACTTTCTCATAATGCTACAGGAGTAGCAACCCGCGGGCACGACCCCAGGTCGCGTGTGCGCGCGCGCGCGTGTGCCAGCGTGCGTCTCGGGCGTGCGTCTGGGTGGATCCGTGCGTGGTTTGTGCTTGGGAGGCAAATCGGGCTTTTCTCCAAGTCTGCTTAATACGATTTAGGCGCTCAAATACTTGAAGGCGGTAGACACAACAGGGATGCGAAGGAAATAAAAACAATTGGGAAAGTGGTGCCAAGTGACTCAGACTTTGAACTGAGGACCGGGAAATCATCTCGAACCGGTTGTGGCCACCGCCCCTGCCTAACTCACGCCGCGATAGCTGAGCGGATCCCTAGGGGAGTTGGTCCTGAGCTAGTCTGAAGCTCACTGATTGCTTCTCGCGTGGTCCCACCGACGGCGCGTCTCAGCGCAGCCCAGCGCTTGGCGCGAACTCGCTCTCCCTCTTCTGTTCAGATGCAGCCTCTCTCCAGACTTGTTAAAACATGACAGCAACTTAACTGGAGGCTGGAGGAGCGGCAAAGAAATGAAAGGAGAAAGCCAGAAGTGGTTTTTTTTCCCCCCCGAGAAAGAGACGTGCACATGGTGTTCTTACATTACTCTTTAACCTTTGCAAAGAGATTGAGAAGTGGAAATGTTGCTTATATGCAAATCGGGCTTATTTTTCGCTGTCAAACCTGTTTCCTAAAAATCTGCGAGGCTGAATTTGGTTGTTCGTAGTAATCTATGAGGAATGTGAACTACGCTCTTTCCAGCGGCCAGGATGAAGGGAGAAAAATGGGATGTTTAAAATTATATTAAACTGCAGATTATTTTCCCTCTTAAGTTATTTAAAAAAAGATCCAGGATCAGGGAACTAGTGATGGGGTGGGGGGAGTAAATCACCAAGGTTGCCTGCATTTGAAATAACGCCATCTTGGTTGAGAGACTTGTTATATTTTACCCTCTAATCTCACGTTTCAATCGTTTCTCAGTGTCTAAATAATAGATCCTCTAACTTAGAAGTACCACCCCAGGCGGGCAGGGGGAAATCAACTTTCTGCGCTCAGACGGTGGCACTGATCCTTCAGAGTTGGGGGTGGGATGGTACAGGCGGGCACGGTCAGGGCGGCATTTGCAGTGTGAGCCCCGACGCTCGCTCTGCAACTCTCTTCAGGGAGGACAGGGTTAAAAGCCGAGTCTGACTATGCCTCTTGGAAAGCTTTGGGTTGCAGCCGCGCCTCCCAAGCATTCTTTAAACCAGAAATGTGGGAGGGACTCCGAGAGGGAGGGAGTAAGCGAGGGAGGGAGAGAAAGAGGACTCGAGGAGGGGAGCGCGCCAGAGCGCGAGGGACGGAGGCAGAGGAGGAGCGCGGGAGCGGCGGAGGCGATCCCGCGAATTCATTACTGTAAACATCTCCCGGGGGGGTCAGGAGGGGTGGGGGTGGGAGCCGCGGCGCCTACATTAGCGGGGCCGGGTCAGATCCAGGCAGCAGTAAGGTCGGAGCAGCCTCCGGACCCACGCCGGGCCGGCGCAGCGCTTGGAGCGAGCCCCGCGCCCGCCCCCGCGCACCCCACGCAGCGCCCCACTCCGGGCTCCGCGCGGTCCGCGCACGGGCGTCGGAGGCGCGCCCGCCCGGCTCTCCGGCCGCCCCCCGGGGTCCTCCGTCTCCGAGGAGCCCCGGCGCTGCGGGGCCGCGTTCCGCCGCCTTCCCGGCTCTCCCGCCTTCTTTCAGGACTCGTGGGCTCGGCCGAGGCGGAGAGGGGGAGGCAGAGGAGGAGAGGAGGCGGGGGCCTCGGCGGCCGGAGCCGAGAGAAAGTGGCATGCCCCGGCCCTGGAGGCGGAGGTGGCGGAGGACGGAGGAAGACGATGCCGCGGCTCCGTAGGGGAGGAAGGCGAGAGCGAGCTAGGCGAGCGGGGCGCCCGGGCGCCGGCCGGCTGCGGGGAGGCGCGCGCCGCTCTGAGGCTCCGGCCTCCGCACCCCCGCGCCCCGACGCTGCGGGCGACAGGGCCGGGCTCCGGCAGCCTCCTCCGTCGCCGCCGCCACCACCCGGAGGACCTAGCAAAAGTTTGGATCTGGGGGAGGACGCGGCGCTGAGCGGGATTACCACCAGAGCTTGGAGGAGACCTCGAGAACCTTTGCAGGTAACGCACACCCCCAACCTCTCCTTCCTGGCCCCTCCGCTGGGCTCCAGCTCCCTCCCAGCGCGTTTCCTGACGCTCGCCAGATCTGGCTGAAAGTAGGAGGGAGGCGAAGTTCAAGATCCCGGGTCTGGGCACCTAGCATGGGGAGAGCTACAGGAACGGGGTCCGAGGCGCTTCTCTGCGCCGGGTGGGCAGCTGTGCGGGGAGGCGAATCTCCCCCGGGAATGGATGAGAACCCTCGGCCCCAGCTGGTGCCTCGGCTTGTAGCTCGTAGGACATTCAGGGTGTTTATTCAGTATTCTTCAATCCGGGGAAATGGTGCGTAGATTTCACTCACTCCCACCTTCGCCCTCGCACTCTCCCACCCTTATTTAGTATCTTTTGAAAATGATACGAACCCACTCCCATTCGCCCACCTCGTTTAGCTGGTGCAGAAAGGCAAACCGGGAAGGGGGGGGGGAGCGTGTGTGTGAAAATTTCAAGCAAAGGGGAAAATTTATCCTTCCCCCTTTTAACATCTCCAGAGTACTCCCCTCCTCCTTCCATTCACCTTCCGGCGTCATAAAATAGGAACTTTAGAAGTCACATTTTCACTGAAGAGTGAGATGAAACATGTTAACCATTGGTGGCGTGAATTTGCAGTGATTGTCCGCCTGTGTGTGTGTCTGTGTTTGGGGGGCTAGTGGTGTTGCGGAAAGGCCGGTTTTCCTTGGTGGCCTGACGCGCCGTCGCGTGGGGGGAGTGAGCGGTCGCGTGTGTGCACTGAGGCGGGGGCAGCGGAGAGAAGACGGTCACGTTTCCAGAACAGCAGCCTTTCTTGGGCTAATAAAATAGCTGCTGCGTTTCACTCCGAGAGCAAAAAGATTCCAGCCCCAACTCCCCAACGTCCCCTTTCCCCCAGTCGAGTTTTTGAGTTTCGAAGCAGCTCAATGTCTGCTGCTCCATTATCTTTTTTTTTTTTTATAAATCATTATTTGTGCACTTGGAAACTCACCGTGCCTTCTCTGGTAAATGGAAATGAGCCTTCGAGGGCTTTTGATTAATTTTAGTGGAGCGAATCTCTTGTAAAGCTTACAGTAAGCTAATCAAGTGCAAGGCACAAATCCGTGTAAATGCTCGAACAGGAGTGCAAGGTGCTGATTAGATTTCTTTACTTGCTGTATTTGCTATGCAAAGCCTCTTCTAAATGGGAGCTGTTGCTCCTTCCTCGGCTGGGAGACCGTTTAATCACCCAGGGTCAGGAAGCTTTGGGGCATGTCCACACGCTCAGGGGTTTATTGCTAAAATTATTATGTCCAACTTCTCCCAGCCAAAAGGTAATATGAAGGCTACCTTTCATATCCAGACCAGTATTGTCTGTAGACTTAAGCGGTATGACCTTATTAAATCTCCAATGAAAGAATTCCGCCAAACATTTTGAGGTGAATAGAATGCAGATTGGCATTTGTCCAGGGTTGTATTTGGTCGTTGCAGTAAGAATGTAAAATTTTAGGTCAGTATCTGAAGTGTTAGCACCAGTTTTTTTTTTTTTAAATCAGTAAGCAACATCACCAGATTCATAAGATGGAAAGGCCACCATATTAGATGAGAGTCAATCTTTGGGTAGTATGCATACCATAAAAAGTTGCTCATTTCCCCACAGTGTCAGGAGTCCCTCGCAGATACAACTTTTCTTCCTCCCCGCCTCAGAAGCCTCAAACAGGATAGGGTTAACCATTTATGGATTTGTAATAATCACGGGTGACAGCACACCACCATACTGTCATGTTGAGTTGCAAATGTCTGTGACTGGAGGAGGCTGGAAGATGAAATTTCAAACATTATTCCATGTCTCTGGCAGTCGGTACAAGAAATTGTAAAAAGAATCTCGCTAGCTGTACTGGAGCAGACCTATTACAAACCTAGCATGGAAGGAATGCTGGTTTAAAAACAAAAAGCCCATGTCCTAACACTTCAGTAGTTTCATTGCAGTTTTACAAATTCCAGGGGATGCTTTTAACAGAAGAAAGTAGATTCCCAATTGACACCGTGCTGGGCTGCTTTGGGGTTCTCCAAGCAGGCATGGTTTTTCTTGTATGCTAGGTTTCAGACGATGTGATCTTATCCGAGTTTGACTTTGACCGCCTGGATCTAATTTGAAGCTCCTCTGATACCCGTTACATTTATATTCTGGCCTGCTGGAGAGTTTGATTTAGGATTTAGACATATCTCCCGAAAGCAACCTTATATCTTCCCAGTTTGAAGCTGTGGTTTCAAGAAAGACTCAAGTATGTACAAGTGCAGAAGCCATATTCTGGAGAGACCCAGTGTGAGCATCTGATCTAGTTTGACTGTTTAGCTTTGTACTCTACAGGGAAGACGTGCCACTTCTGCGATCCCCAGTGTCTGGAGTCAAAAAACAGCAAGGGTGAAGGGCAACTCTCGGTCTTGCTCTGTTGAGAAGATTCGAAAAAGGTCCAGGTGATGTAATTTTATTTCTAATCAGGTCAGACCTTCTCTGGATAATCGTCTGTTGGTATCTTTACTTATTTCAGTTCAAGTTCATTTTTCACTTGATTACTTTAATAACTTTGTGGTTTCTGCCACAGTGATTCAAATTCAGGCCATTAGTGACCTCTATCTGTGAGAAGTGAACACTCAGTGTTTTTCTTTCTTATCAGAGTCTACAGATTATGGGGTGGGGGGGGAAGGGGGCGGATACCCAACAGCTCTGTAGTTCTTTCTGAGTATTTAGATTTTCCAGCTTGGTTTTCCTAAGACAGAGTTCAGTACAGGTAATGCTCTTTAACAACAGTAATGAAAATGTTACAGGCCAATGAGCTACTAAGTTGTTCCATACAGCATCGACAATTTGATCAACATAAACAAAACACCAGAGCTATCCGGTGCCAATAAGAGGACTGTACAGGCAGGTAGGCCAGTGCTTTGAGACTCACAGTACTGCTGGATGTGAGTGAAATTTTATTGCCCCGAAGTGCTTACATAACAAGGGAAACTTGAGACAAGCCCAGAACATATACGTGGGAGCTAAGACTTGCCTTTAAATTCGGCTGTGCTTCTGCTGTGAACGTACAGCGCAGATCAAGGGAGAGGTGGCGTCTGCGAAGGGTGACTATAAACAGATGGTCTTTTAAGGAGACTTTTAAAATCTGACTCCTAATCCAGCTTTGTCTTCTGAGCATTTTCCAATCGAAATTTCCATTTGAGTTGATTATCCTAAATGGTAATTGAAGACAAAGTTTACAGACTTTCTTAGGTGGGTGAATACCATTATCTGACATTTTCCAGATGGTTTTTGATCTCATGGTATTTGGGGATATAGAATTTTTAGGAGGTTTTCTTTCTTTTCCCTTGGGCAGATTTTACACCAAAGGCATTTTTAAAGACCAATTCTTCTTATTAAAGGTAAACAATTATTATCATACCCCAATTTTCTTACTTTTCCCACCCTCCATATTGCTTTTTTTTTCAAAGTTATATTTTTTCTTCTAAAACTACATGTTGGGGATAAACTATCACTGTCTTTTTATTCCTTTCAGCAATATGACCTCCAATTAAATACCTATTTATAGTAAAACATACACACTCACATACACATCAAGCAAGGACCATTTTAAGACAGAGATTCTTTTCAAGGTTTTAAATATGTTTCTTTTTTAAAGGGCTATGACACAAATATTTTAATAAAAATATCCTGTGTTCCGATGAATACAGAGACTTATTTCAGTTGCATGGAACAGTAAAACACTGTATTAGCGAAATAATCAGCGGTATTTTCAGGACATGGTCAAAATCTGTTAGAACCTTCATGGGTGCTTTTTTTTTTTTTCCCTTGACGAATTTTGCATCTACTGGTCTTTTTGGTTTTCTTTGATTCCTTCTACTGTAGCTCTTTGAAGTGATTCAAAATTAAACAGTAGCTACTTTTTAAGGGAAATTCATCATGTTATGTTCAGGATTCCAGAAGAGTTAATGATGCAGAAAAAGTCCTGTAAAACCATCTTTCTAAAAGAAGTCCTTCTCTTGCAGGCGTCCCACTTACTGGCCTCCTGTACCATTTGCAGTGAATTGGAACTCCGTTATTTATTTATTTTTCAAATACCACCTCTAACTTAATTTAACGTGGGATGTGTTTCTGCAGAGGCATGTAGCTCCACGTGTCCCGAGTCGCCTGGACTCAGCAATGGTGGTTTTTTCCCAGATCTAGAAGAAGGGGAGGTCAAAGAAAATATCCTTGTAGAATTTGGGAAGTCAAACGGCCATGTTTGTGATCCTGAAATCCCAATCAGTTATTCTGTGGGTATTCAATAAGGGTACACGTTTTCTGGCAGTTTCGTGGTGGAAGACCTCAGCCGTTTTTTGAGGCCTTCACCAAAGAAATCTGTGGTACCTGTACAGAGCTCATTAGAGCCAGACAATTTTTCTCACTTTCTTCCCGTGTTGCTTTTAAGGGAATGTTCCAGAAATGTGGCAGAAGGTCCTCTGTTCCCCTCGGTTCACAGGTCACGTGTTTATAGTTGTCTCTTTATTAGGGTTTCCAAGACACAGATAAAACAATCTTCCATCTGAACCTTTTAAGAATCTGAGGGCATTTGGATTTCAACCCACCAAAAAAACACCTGGTCTCAAAGTTCACCGGTGCTGCTTGGCCGCAGAACACTGAAACCTCCTTCTCTAGGATGTCGGGGAACAGCAGCTCCTAAAACTGGTTCACACATACATGGTCCAGGGAAGTCAACAGAGGCCATGGGGCTGAATGGAAAACATTAGACTCCCATCAGTCCCAAAATAGGCCCACGTGCTGGTGTCACTCTCGGCGCCAGCTGCCTGGGGGTGTCACTTTCATGAACATCCCGTGTCCACGTAGCCTCAGTGAGGGTTTCCTCTCCCATTTTGCTCCAGAGCTTGGGCTAGTTGGAAGAAGAAAATAACACAGGGAGTTGTAATAATCTTCACAGATATTAGATAAAGAGGAGGGCGAAGTTAGGGCAGTAGATGGA